TCATTCTCAAGCATCAACTCACCATCATGATCAAGAGTTTCTAGCACAATAGTGTTGTGGCTTTTGATCTCTTCAAGATCTTTCTTGAGCTTTTCATTATCATTCTTAAGCTTGACAAACTCATCATAATCATTGGCCTCAACCACTTGCTTGCTCTTGCTACTAGAACTTTGCTCAATGCTCTCAATGATCAAATTATCACATGATGTAGCTATATAAATATTAACAACATTGTTAGTAGCATCATGTGGTTTATTGGATAAATATTCTTGAGCAATAACAAGATTATCATGATTAATCTTAAGAGTAGTATATTCATCTTTTAGCATATTATGGCTAGTGATGAGGTCTTTGTGCATCCTCTCAAGTTTATCATGTTTATCTTTAAGCTCTTTCTTAGAAGATTTGAGCTCCTTGAGTTTGGATGGCATAGCTTCATTTGCTTCTCTAAGCTCAACACTAGCTTTTCGGCTATATCACATTTAGTTAAAAGAGAATCATTTTTAGCTTCTAGCTTGTCATTCTAAGCTCTAGTCTTTATAATGATCTTGGAGTATTTATTTAGCAATTTAACAAGATCATCATAAGAAGGTGATTCATATTCATCATCATCACTATCGCTATCATCATTACTAGCATGTTCATCACCACTACTCTCATCATCATTTGATACCTTGCGTTCACCCTTGGCCATAAAGCATAGGTGTGTAGAGGATGATGGCGATGGTGGCGGTGAAGATGATGAAGAGTCAATAACAATGTCCACACTCAAAACACTTCTTTAGCATCTTGGCGGTTTTCTCACCATGAGAGCAAGGCTTGCATCATCAACTTCATCATCACTTGAGCTCTCATACTCAAGCCTTGCTTTGCCCTTCTCTTGACTAGCTTTGAATGCTAAGTCCTTTTCTTTCTTCTTGTTAGAGGATGAGCCATCTTGAGGTGTGATGTGCATGTACATCTCATGAGTATTGAAATTTCCCAAGATTTATGTCGGTGTAGCGGTGGAAAGATCACCTTGATGAAGCACGGTCACAATGTGCCCATATTTGTCAATGGGGAGGACACTCAAGATCTTTCTTACAACATCGGATGGTTGCATTTGAGTTAGTCCAAGCCCATTGACTTCCTCTACAAGAACATTCAAACATTAATACATTTTATTAGCCCATTCTTTAGGAAGCATTTCAAAAGAGTTAAGCTTTTTCATGACAAGATGATAGCGTTCCTCACGCTCACTCTTTGTTCCCTCATGGAGCGCACAAACGTCCGACCATAGTGCATGGGTGTCTTTGTGGTTCCTCACCCGGTTGAACACATCTTTACAAAGGCCTCTAAATATGGTGTTTCTAGCCTTTGCATTCCATTTTTCGTAATTCAACTCATCACCTTGCGAGTGTGCGGCATCCCGAGGTTTTGGGAAACCTTGTGAGGCGGCTCTAAGTATTCCAACATCTAGAGCTTCTAGATACGCCTCCATGCGAATTTTTCAATATGGAAAATCATCCCCCTCAAAAATAGGAGGAGGTCCATCCCCGTGAGATATCTTTCTCTAGGTGGTTAAGCCTAAATATGTGAGCACGAGGCTCTGATACCAATTGAAAGAATCAAGATGCCCAAGAGGGGGGGTGAATTGGGTTAATTCTAAATTTCTTTGCAATAATTAAACTCTACGGTTAGCCCAATTAACCCCTTGTGCCTAGAAAGTGTTTCTATTGATCTAACGCACAACAGTTTAGCACCCTAAGTTCCAATCCTACTCTAGCATGGCAATTCTAGGAAAATGACAAGAATTGAATTGCTCAAAGTAAATGCTCAAAGTAAAGAGAGAAGGAGGAATGCGGCGATGTTTTGCCGAGGTATCGGAGAGTCATCATTCCCCACTAGTCCTTGTTGGAGCACCCGCGCAAGGGTGTAGCTCCCCTTTGATCCGCGCAAGGATCAAGTGCTCTCTACGGGTTGGTTCTTTGACTCTCCGTCATGGTGAATCACCCACAACCACTCACAACTTGAGTTGGGTCATCCACAAGCTCTCCGGATGATCACCAAGCTCCCAATCACCACCAAGCCATCTAGGTGATGGCGATCACCAAGAGTAACAAGCACGAGCTCTCACTTGACCACGACAAGCCTAATGAGAAGGGTGGATGCATACTTTGCTACTCTTGATCTCACTAATGAGGGCTCTCTTTGGGATTCTCAAATCTCAATCACCTCACTAGGACCTTACTCTTCTTGGCACTCTCAAAGGTGTTTCTCAGCTGTTGGAATGAGCAAAAGTACCCCCACATATGAATGGATGTGGTATTTATAACACCGGCTGAAAAACAAACCATTATGTGCCTCTGCGGGGTGACCGGACGCTCCGATCAGTTCACCCCGAACTCTAGTGTTTAAAGTGTGACCGGACGCTGGACAGCGTCCGGTCAGCACTGACCGGAAGCGTCCGGACGTGAGTTTCCCTCTATGGAACCTTATTGAAGTCGACTGGACGCTGGCCCTCAATGTCCGGTCACGTCACCTCTCAGCGTTCGGTCGTACCAGACGAAAACACCTTGGTCAAATGAACTGACCGGACTCTGCGTCAGCGTCCGGTCACACCGGAACCAACGTCCGGTCAGTATTTGACCCTCCATTCACTTCTAACTCTCGATCATACGTGAATGAAGTTTGCTCCATTGGATCTAAGGGCTATTTTGGAGCTACCTAGTGCTAGTTTTAGCAAGTGTGCGCCACACCTAACCCACTAGACTCACCTAGGTCAAGCTACCCGTCCATACCCCTCTTAATAGTACGGCCAAAGGAAAAATAAAGTCCTAAACTACTCTAAGTGTTTCTTCAACACCAAACGGCGCTTAGAACTAGTCTATCCTTAACCTTGTCATCCATCATTTAAAAACTAAAACGATTTCCATCGTATGGGCATGACCACCATGATTGCCCAATCGATCTCCATTACCATGACCTAACTTAATTGCCTCTGCAAAACACACGTTAGTCATAGTAATCATGTATTGTCATTAATCACCGAAACCCAACTAGCGGCCTAGATGCTTTCAGATGGGCCCCCGTCGTGCAGTGCCATAAAAGGACGGTGGGGCTAGGACACATAACATGAGGTTTTACCATAGCCGTCAGCGCCCCACCGCATCCTAACCCCAGTTCGATCTAAAGGGGCGCTGTAAGCGACGGGAAGCACCATCGCCTTGGACCGTCGTCACTGCACCGCGCCTGCACTGCTACGACACCGGCGGCCACGTCATTGCGGCGCTATAGCCGCAACTGCCTTAGGGCGAGGTACATCACCAAGCTTCCCCATCTAAGTCAAGTTTTATCCCCTGATCTATGATTCTAGAGGTATTATGGTCTTTCAGTCATATCATGAGTTGCGCTTACCAAAGAGGGAGGCACCAGATTAGATCATGATTAACTGGATCCCACTAGCGGCCACTTATAATGATAGGAACCTATTGACATGAATTACGGAAGCTAGATCGCTCGGTATAGTGCCTAGTCGACTTTTAGGTCAGCTAACGCCTAAAGTATGTCCGCATACGGACCTAGTGCCTCCAGCGATGAGTGCAATATGCGAGACACATTGCCGGAGGAGCCTCATCAAGAGCACGATACGCAAGACACAATACGATGATGAGGTCTCTTGTAACCCAACGCCCCCCCCCCACACACACACACACACTTGGGAGGGACTCCGCTAGGGCGTGCAGGGCTGTGGGTTGCCCTAGCCGTCCTGACCGCCCTAGAACTTCGACGTCGTCAATCCACTAGCCATGTAGCAATGACAAAGAACGAGGAGAAGAAGTAGATGGGAAAAGGAGGGTAAAAGGAGTAGCAGATGTGTTTTTTAACGATTGGATGTTAGATACCTCAATCGGCCATGATCTTTCAATAAATAGAGCGGGGTGGTCTTATCCCATTAGAAAACCTTTCTAAGATGTAATCTTCAAGTTTCCCACGACACTGGAATAGTTCAGATTGAAATCCAAAAGGCTACATCCAAACGAGATTTTCTTTTAGGTTCATCGGAAGTTCGTTTGCCAAAATATGTCGGGATTGTCGATATGGGAAGAAACCGGGAACCCTACAAATTTTTTTAGATTCATCGAAAGTTCCGATTCTCGAAACTTCTAGCGTTGGAGTATATTCTTGAGGGCATAATTTCTTCATTCATACTCTAAATTAGATGTTTCATATATATTTTTGTTACCATCTCAACGAAATTAACATAATGGCAAAGTCACATAATGAACAATTTTAGTTGTCAACGGAACCACTGCCCCAGACTAAGGGAGAATGGGTTGGGAAGAGAAAATACGAAGAAAACAAAGCCACGAGGCCCATGCCCATCGTCCCTGTGGCAGCGTGGATGACGAGGGGGCAGAGAAGGAAAGGGCTGGCAGCGGAGCAGCGGAGCTGATGCCTAAATCCCCTTTTGCTAGCGACAAAATCATAACATTCGCAATGTGAATTATAGTTTCAAAATCGAAACGCTCGAGTGAGTGTCATTGTTTTTCTGGGGAAAAATTACGAAACAGAGGTCGGCTCCAAACGTTCTTGGATCAAAATATCCACTTGTTATGTTTAGTGGTGGCACGCGGCGCCACTCGCTAGTCGGCCACGCCACGGCCGCACACGGCCGCACGGGCGCTCGCCAAAATTTTCGGGGGCGGCAGAGGAGCCGGGAGCGGGGCCACGCGACGGGCCGGCCAAACGCAGGGCTAGCGGACAAGGCAGAGGGACAAAACCAGCGGCTGCTCCACACCGCCAGCACCAGAGCAGACCACAGTTTTATATTCCCCGCCACTATTTATACAACACGCGCTCGCCTCCGGACACTCATCACCTGCTGCCTGCCATCTCTCTCTCTCTCTCTGTCTCGGGTCTGTGCGCTTCTGCGTCAGCAGCGCGCGTGCCATCAGCGAGGAACAGTTGCCAATTTGCCATCTCAGTCTCAGTTCCGTTCCTCCGATTCCTCGTCCCCGATGGACCTGTCTCCCAGCTCGTCGCCGTCATCCGTGCCGGTGCCGGCGGGGCCGTGCCAGTGGTCCGGCGCCAGGCTCGGCTCCGCGGCGTGCGGGCTGGCCGGCAGGGTGCTCTGCGCCGTCGCCACCTGCGTCTTAGTGGCCGGTGCGTTGCTCGCCCGCGCTCGATCAGACAGAAGAGTCGCTCTTGTGTCTGACGAGCTGCTTGCCTTGTATGGTTTTCGCAGTGGGGTCGCTGGTCGGGGCGGTGACGGGGTCCATGCTCGGGCTGGCGACCGAGAGCGGGATGCTGCGCGGCGCCGGCATCGGGGCCATCTCCGGCGCCGTCTTCTCCATCGAGGTCGCCGAGTCGTCCCGCGACCTCTGGCACTCGGCCGACTCCAGCGTCTGGTCCCTCCTCTACATGGTACGTACGCACTGACGACGCGCATTGATCTGCTGCTGCTAACCTCGATCCTACTCTTCTGTCAAATCGGTCGCTGCCACTTTGCTTCAAAATTCTCGGTTTATATCGATCAGGTTTTCGTTGCAACTTGCAAAACTAACTGCTCACAAGCACATCATTCTCGTTTTCGCCGCCTAATGGGGCTTGATGTTGACCAACACGATTAGGTGTGCCCCATGGATTCCGTGGGGCGATGCGCGGATGCGACCCATTCGCATGGCGCACTATTCAAATGCTTGTGAATATCATGGACCCATGTTTTTCTTTCACCTGCACCGGTGAGAGTTCGGTTTCCTGCCGAAAACAAAATTAAACGCACTGCTAAATCGACTCGTCGGACTACTTTCTTCCGGTTTGCTCGGTGCCTGTCTCTGACCCAAGTGTTTGTCTGTGCACGCAGGTGGACATCATCTCCGGCCTCCTGAGCGGCAGGCTGGTCCGGGAGAAGGTGGGGCCGGCGGTTCGGAGCGCCGTGCAGAGTCAGGTATAGTCACTCTCTCAGCCTCATCTGAAACCAAAACGCACCAGGATTATTACGCTGGTTGCCTATGTTCATTGCACTGCAAGATCCTAAGTTTGGTACCGGTTGGTCCATTGGCTCTGTCGATCAACAAGAAATTTAGGTAGCAAAGCATAATAAACAAAGGATATAAATACTAGAGCTGGTATATGAGGATGCTTGTGCGCATAATTTGAGTGGTAGTTAGTCCATGTCCATGCATTGTCCCTGAAGCTAATGCGGTCCATTTCTTCCGAGATGGAGTAACAACAATTCAAAGGCACACACGCCCATTTATAGATCTTTAATACCTTTGTTTGTTAGAGAGAGAGAATATGAGTTGTTGTTACCTTAAAAAAGGGTGGTGCTGGCGCCTGCCATCTAGATCACTTTCAGTGAGGCCATCACCGTACCCTCAAGTAAAAAAAAAAAGACAGTTTGGCATCAATGACAAATGAGATGACGTGTCTCAGTTAATTGCCCAACTGCTCTTCAGACCAGGAGTATTTCACTGCCAGCGACGCAAGAGCTCACTCATGGTCAGCGTCACTGCGTCAGCCTGCTGTAACTAACTTGTTTCCATCCTGTGTGTGGGACTGTGGACGCAGATCAGCGCCATGAGCTCGCCGTTCGAGGAGACGAGCGACCTGTTCGAGACCGGCAGCGTCAGGGGCCTCCCCGAGTCCGCGGTGCGCCGGCTGCCGGAGACGTTGATCGCGGAGGACACCGCCGTGGACGCGGCGGGCCAGGCGCTGTGCTGCTCGGTGTGCCTGCAGGACTTCCGGGTGGCCGAGCCCGCGCGGAGGCTGCCCGGGTGCCGCCACCTCTTCCACGTGGCCTGCATCGACTGCTGGCTCGTCAGGCACGGTTCCTGTCCGCTGTGCCGGCGAGACATCTGAATTGATCGCCGGCGGCCAGGCACGGCTCCTGCCTGCTGTGCCGGCAAGACATCTGAATTGATCGCCGGCGGTCGGTGAACCGCCGACGATCGGGTGCTAGTGTGGCTTTGGACGAGATTGTCGGTTAGTGGAGTAGGATTTGTAGTAGGACGGCACCTGGCATGCCCGTAAGGGAAATGGTGCGCTCTGTTAACGACGAAAAAAAAGAAAGCGACTCCCTAAAAGAATGAAAAGAAAAACATATGAACAAACATTGAGCGAGAAAATGGCACCAGTGACGATCGCATGCTCAGACCTGAGATTACGGATCAAATCTGCAGGTTCAGGCCGCGCTTGTCTGCGGATTCAGAATTATATATACGTAGTTATTAGCTACACCTACACATTGTTCAAGTTTAGCATCAACATTTGCTTTGCGCTGAGCTTGCAGTTGCCATATTCAGGCAGGCCCCGTACGGAAATGGAAACAAGACTGATTACAAACACGTTGCGACGCTTTTTTTGTGTCAGCCGGCGAGCTGGTTTGGAGTCTTGGAGAAACTGCAGCTCAGTTCGGTTGCCCTGGTGCTCTGCCCTACTGTCACTCTCATCTCTTATCTCTTATTATCAAACCGGGAGAGTTTGGCCGCCAACCAAGGTGGCCACGTCGTCCGAAATTCCCTTGGCCGTCCGATCCTGCGGTCGACGGTACAGATTGGCTCCGCACCTTGCTACAGTACCTCGCCCCCGCTGCGAAACCCTCGCCTTCTCTCCCCGACCCCAACGCCCTCCTCCTCTCCGCTCTCTCTCTCTCTCTCTCGATCCATGCCACCATGGCGACCGTGCACGAGAGCGCGGCCAAGGGCGCGGCGAAGCGCGCGCCCTCCTCGTCCCCCTCCCCCACACCCCCAAGGCGTGCCTCCCCCCCCTCTCCTCTCCACTCGCTACCTCTCTCTCTCCCGATGCGGCTAGGGCGACGGCAGCCATCATCACACAGCCGGGCGACGCTGGCCACAACCACCGCCCGGCACTTCCGCGGGAGGCTTGGCCACTGCCCTCTACCGCCCGGCCGCTGCGCGCAGTTTAGGGTTCGCTCTCTCCTTCCTCCCCTCCCTTCCCACGCCGGGCGGGGGACGGACGTCGATGTAGCCTTGTTGGCTCGGTCTTCCTTGCTGGCGGAGGCCCAAACCGGCGGATCTGGCGGATCCGGTGCCTCCATGGCCGGATCCGTCTGTCCTCCCGTCCGATCTGTGCAGGCAACAACCTTCCGGAGGCCATGGCCGTTGTGCCATGGTGGACGACCGTGGGCCAACAACGGCGCTGACCACTGCCTCCGCGCTAGCGGCGCACATCCTCCTCCTCCTCCTCCTCCTCCTCCTCTGCCCTCTCTCCCCTTACTCTCCCTCTCTCCCCTTCCCTCCCGAGGCGGCGGTGAGCGCGAGGCGATTGCTTTCTACACTTTGGCTGCAGTTGTCGTGAGCTCAGGGTGGCACAGTCCCACCCGCCAACCAGGCTGCAAGCCTCCTAAGAGCACACATGGTCTTAAACATTTGATTTGATACATTCATGTCTTAATTCGATGAAACTCAAATTTGATTTGATACTCAGCATTTATCTAGATGTCTGAGTTGCTTTATACAATAGTTTTCTCATTGATATACTCGGACTATATGCTGGATTCTGAAACCAATTCACTACTTCAAATTGAGCTCAACACTATTTCATCATCCTTTCCTGGCCTTGGCTCCCTTGTTAGTGAACTTCACAACTCAATTTACTATCCATTCTTCCTATCTCAGGGCAGAATTATCCTGTTTTGTTTTCTTCTGTGAGTTTTTATTTCCTGGCAACCTCTTTTGACCATAACAGGTCTACTCACTATGATGATTGTTGGCATATTTTAAAGATACAATTGTAGACTTTTTCAATAGTGGTACAGTAGTAGATGGAAAACTTGCTGACCATTTCAGTTCTCCCTTGAGCTTATAAGAAAATCCGAGATGAATGCCTTTTACTTAGTCAGCCAAAGTGGTTAAAAGATCTGTTGTGTTTACATAAACGTTACCTACATTTAAATTCCAGACTATGGGTTATTGGAAGCTTCAGCTTATCACTACAACCATGAACCATGATTTTTTCAGATTAGTTTTGAAGTCTCTAACTGTAACCTGTAATGGTGTGCCACTTCAAAAATAGTCAGTACCTGTTGCAATGTTGCTTAGTTTCGCTTGCCTTGATGAAGCAGTGAACTTCTTTTGTGCATGGATTCCAGTCTCTATTGGAAACCTATTCTTACCCAAATGGTTTTATTGCTTGGTTGAGGATGTATAATAATTTGTTTTGTTATGATAATACACCACTTTTCCACCTTGACATAATACTGTCATATTCCAGGAATGGAGAGCGAGGTTTCTGATGGAACAATCATCTGCAGTAAAGTGCCCTTCGATATCCTACCATTTAGTAGGAACAAAAAAGATCCAGCAAGAACTAGCAAAACCTAATGTTCTTGAAAGGTGATTTGAGTTTTCTCAGTACTAATGGGTGATTGGCTGGTTCATATTCCGCTGTTTCACAGTTGCACTAGGTTTTCAACAAAACAGATCAACTGGCATTTTACCTTATAGTGTTGTAGCCTATACTTCAAATGTGTTGACCAACTCTAGGAACGGTCCCAGGGGTTGGTCTGGTTCACGCTCCATTCTCGCTGCTCCCAGCGCGTTTTCCGGCGTCGTTCTGGAAGCAAGCGTGCGAGCTGGCTCCTATCTTCAATGAGCTCGTGGATCGTGTCAGCTTGGATGGGGAGTTCTTGCAAGCTGCTTTGTCTAGGCAACTTTTGAATTCTATACACTGGATTCTTTTGGTACCAATGTGGTGTACATATATACATGAAACTCCTAATATTGTTTCCATGTAAATATTAAACATATTTTTTACCTGCGCCTTAACCAGGTGATTTGCCGGCGCGCGCGAGGACGCGCGTAATGGACTAGTCTCTTATTATCAAAGCAAGTTACTTTGGCCGCCAACCAGACTGTCCACGTCACCTGAAATCCTTTAGCCGTTTGATTCTGCGATCGACGCTCCATATTCACTCCACCGATCGCTACAGCGCAGAACCCCCTCCACGAAAACATCGCCGTCTCTCCCCTCCTCGTCCCAGATCGTAAAAAAAAGAGCCTCCCTTCATCTCCCTCTCTCGGTCTCTCCCGAGCCCGCGGCCCTTCCTCACACGAACCGCGCCTCCGCCGCCTCCGCCCCGTCGTCCCTTCCTCTCTCCCTCCCTCTCCTTGTCTATCTCGGCGGCGGCCGGCCGATTGGGCCACCAGGTCTCGCCCTCCCCATCCCCTTTCTCCGCTTCGCTTTTCCTCGTTGCCGCGTCTTCGTGCGCTCCGTCCGTCCTCGTCGCCGTCGCTGTCGTTCGCCTCGCCGCCGGGCCTCTTCCTTCTCCCATTCAGTTTGCGTGGTGAGCTGCGGTCGTCTTCGCCTTCCTTTGCGTCTACAATTTTGTTTACTGTTGATGGTCGAACCTTTCTTGGCCGCCATGGTTTCATCCTTCTGCATCCGTTGCTTGCTTTCTCGTTTCTATGGTTCTGTTTTGCCCTGCGCCTTCGTCCTCTCTTGAGTTCCCGCCGGTTCTTCGCGGTGCTCCTGCCTCTTCGAGTCTATTTTGGCCTCCTAGGGTTCTGTGCTACAGTGCTCGCCGCCTCCGCCCGCCGTGTTTCCCCTGCGTTTTTGCTGGGCTTGCCCTTGTCTTGTTGGACGCTTTGTTTGCCTGATTCTTTGCGTTCCCTTTTTTTGCTTACGCATTTTCCCCTTCGTGCTCGACATGCGACGCCATGTTCACTGCTCTGTTGATGTTTGCCTTGATTGACAGGTTCGGTGCCGTCGGTTCACCGGCGCGGACCGGTTATGTAGGTAATTTCTTGTGGGGCCGGCGTCATCCCAGAACGTCCCTCGGTGTCAGGGTTCAGTTTCTTACTCCCTGTTGATGCCTTTGCTTGCAGCGTGTATGGCCACAGGTGTGCTGTCCGCTGCGGTCGTCTGCCTATCACCGGCACGCCTCGTATCGGTTCCGCGTCTGCTGTACGGGTAATCGCAGTTCCCTGCTCTTTACAATACACACGCTTAGCTATTGTTTTTGGTCTGTTTGTGCGCGGCTGCACATGTTGCGTGCGTGCCCCGTGTGCTCACCTATAGTTGGCCTTTGTGCAAGGCCACAGGTGCTTCCCATTTGTTAAGGTGGTATCGTTAATTTTGTGGCCTTCAGCGTTGTTTTCGATCCATAGGTTCTGCTTCTGTTCGTCTGTATGCTAATGCCGTTCGATGTAGTTGTGTATTTGCTGGCGCCTTAGTGTGTACATCCACACCGTCTGTTCTCATGTGTTTGTTCCCGTTTTGCTAGCCATTCTCTTTCGTTACCCCTTGTCTGTCAGAATATCGGCTTAGTGCTCTTCCTCCAAGTGGTACCGGTACTGCTACTCATGTGAGGTTCATTTTGTTCATGCATTCTGATGCTCATAGAGTCAAAGAAATGTTTGCTGCTGCTGCCATGAACGCACCCGTATCTTGTTGAGTGCTTCAGACGTTTGTTCATATCATCTACCTGTCGTGTGTTGATTAGCCTTACTCCGAAGCAATGTTTGCGGAATGTTATCAGCTGGTTTCTCTTTGCGTTGTGCCACTGCCTTGTGATTTGTGAATTGATTGTATGAGCTGGATGCGTACTATATGATTTGCATTTCATGGACCTGATTTTGAGCAACATGTGTAGTAGTTTTATTTATGTTTCATTGCTTCCTTGATGTGTTGTTTAGATTCGGAGTAGCTTTAGATTCGGAGGATGCTTGGTTCCCATGGCAATCTCGCTATTAATTTGAACAAACCCTTATCCCAGGCTGATCTGGGGTGTGCCGCTGGTGGGGGACGACTCACTCCTCGACGTCGACCTCAACCTGCTGAAGCTGGAGAACATGGTCTTCTACCACAACGCTGACTGCTTGGGCCAATACGTGTGCTAC